GGAACGTGAAAAAGAATTGGTCACGTAATGACTTGTACAATGCTAGAACAAAAAAATTGTTGTTTTTCATTGCAAATGCTACTATGAAAGTGAGTTCTCAAAAGTAATTTTGGAACCCTATCAAAGGTTGTATTCATATTCCACTGAAATCCAGGTCAGCTCAAGCTGAATAAACTTAACATGGGAAAGACTTATTTTTAACTTATTTTTTTAAGATTTGGAAAGATTCTAGAGTAATAACTGTGAAAAGTAAACAGCATTTCACATATCTACATACATGATGTACATGTGGAGATGTTTGTTTCATCAACAAATATTTCTACAAGCATTGCTATGTACCTACAATGAACTGCTTTCTTGGGATAATAGATATAAACACAATTCACGAGATGCAATATAGCTACTGGTTAGTCTTTCAAAAAAAAAAAAATCCTCCTTATTCCACTTGCTATTTACACTGCTTTCAGTATATGCACTGGATTAATGTAGTCTAGGATTTTATCACCTTTGGCTCCAAGTCTGCTTGTCTCCATTACACACGAGATTTATTGTCATTCTGAACACACTTTTTTTTTAACCTCAGATCCTCTTCTGAATATATGTGGTTGCCCAGATGTTTGCCGAAAGCTTTAGATAATTTTTTTTAAAAATTATGTGTGTATGTGTAATTTGTTTTAGCTATAGTGGGAACAATCTATGTAGGACAAAACAACTTATAGCATAGGGTCCTGGATGCTGGAGCAGATACAAACTTCATGACAAAAACACAGAATTAATGTCTATTTACATGACTGATTGTACTTTTCTGGCTATAAGTAAAAACTTAAGAAGAATAATGAGTTGAAGTTTTTGTAAATACTAAAAGTTTACAACAGGCTTCCATGTCCTTCATCTTACTTTCCTTAAAATAACTCAATTTATAGTTGCAAATGTGAAATTCAAAGAAGTTTAATCACTTACTTAAAGTCCCACAGCTAGTAGGTATGGTTCCCAAAGCAAAACTGATTTTCTTATTCTAAGTCTAGGACATTTCATTTCTCATTACATAAAAAGAGGGATTATAACAACTATATTGTAATTTTTTTGATGTCTACCTTCATATTTATGTTGAAACTATGTAAGTAAAGGTTGCACTTAGAATCATTATCCAAGTTTGCTCAGTGTGCATAAGGTTTTCTCACCATTTCCAGAAGGCTGTGCCCCACAGAAGTGCCTGCACTCAGCTTCTGACATTTTTTCCACCTGAAATGTTTTGCCCTGGGGAGCTATTAGCTGCCTCATTTCCAAATTCTGACTCTGCATAACCCCCTTGAAATGATGTTAAATGGGATACTTCACTTGACTTTTCATTTTGGATTAGGCCCTGGGTGCTGTGTCTGGACTCCACCAGCTCAGAAATTCAAGACCCAATCCCAGCCTAATGCTATTCCTGACCCATGTCCCTGCCTGATATCCTGGACTTTTGCAGTTTTAAGAGCAGACTTTAAATAATTGTGAAACTCAACAGAAATCTCAGAGTTCATTATTTACTAAATAAAGGTGTTATTTTTCTCATATACAAAAAAGACAATGTAGTAATTATCTTTGGTGGGAGTGTGTTTTATGATGGCTAGTCTCAAACTGGCAGCCTGGCATCATATGCAGGCTTGGTTATGCAGTAGAAAGCAATGTGTATGTAGCATTGCAAAGGTATTGAACCAGCAGCCAGGAGCTCATGGTCTAGCCCAGTGCCTGGATCTCCCTGTAACTTCCTGTGACTCTCAGAGCAGTTATGTCAGTATCAGGGGCTTTAGTTACTTTGTTGAGAGAGAGAGAAAGAGAGAGAATGCAAGCACATGAACATGGATGGGGGAGAAAGAGAGAGAATCTTAAGCAGGCTCCATGCCCAGCATGGAGCTGGATGTGCGCCTCCTTCTCACCACCCTGAGATCATGACCTGAGCTGAAATCAAGAGTCTGGCACTTAACAGACTGAGCCACCCCAAGGGGGGGGGGGGGGAGGCTTCAGTTACTATGTTAAATAAAGTCACCAAATTTAACTCTCACTAAGCAGATTTGTATCTACCTTGAAGTTTTCATGTCTGTAAAGTATACTTCTAAATAAATAGGTTGTGTCAATATATTATAATATGTGTACACAATTCCTTGTCCCATATATTTTCCTTTCTTATGTATAATTTATTCATGGAACTTTCAAGAGTCCCTTAGTATCTAGGGTTGACTAGTACTGAGCTAGGCCTAGAAATAAAACCTGTGAAATTATTTTGATTGGTCTGTTTTAAAAAATATATATACCTGGGGCACCTGAGTGGCTCAGTCAGCTAAGCGTCTGCCTTCAGCTCAGGTCATGGATCCTAGGGTTCTGGGATCAAACCCCACATCGGGCTTCCTGCTCAGCAGGGAGCCTGCTTCTCCCTTTCCCTCAGCTGCTCCCCCTGCTTGTGCTCTGTCTCTCTCTGTCAAATAAATAAATAAAACCTTTAAATATATCTATATATAATATATAGATATACCTAGTAAAATCTATAGTAAATTTTAGCATTTTCTAAGTCTTTTAACACAGTCCTTGAAGAAAAGCAGAACTTCAAAATATCTTATAAATTGAATCTGAATCACTTTGTTTCCTCTACATGGCAATGATTAAACTTTGTCCTAATTATATTGAGACAAGGTTATAGAAGAACCCCATAGGCCCATCATTTACTTCTGTGTTGCCAGACAAGGAATATACAATAGTTGTATTCTTTTCCCTCATTTTCTCTAGTCGCTTTGTTTCTCTGATTCCTTCTTTTGTTTATTGAGATAAAATTCACATACCGTAAAATTCATGTTTTAAAGTGTCTGCTTCAGTGTTGTTTTTTTTTCACAAAATTGCACAAACATCACTACCATCTAATCTCAGGATACTTTTATCTCTCCAAAAAAAGCAGCCACTCCTTATTTACCTGACCCCCAGCTGTTGGCAACCACTAATCTGTTTTTTGTGTCTGAATTTACCTATTCTGGATATTTCGTATAAAGGGAATCATACAACATATGGCTTCTTTCACTTAGCATAATGCTTTTGAGGTTCATCCAAGTTATCACATGAATCAGTCCTTTGTTCTTTTTTGTGGCTGAATAATATTCCATTATATGTATATGCCACATCCTGTTTATCCAGGCATTCATTGCTAGATGTATGAATTGTTTCCACATGATGAATAATAGTGCTATGGATATCTGTGGACCTGTTTCTGTGCAGATATGAAATTCCGTTTCTCCTAGGTACATGCGTGGAAGTACAATGGCTGGCTCATATGGTAATTGTATGTTTAACTTTTTTGCAGAACCGCCAAACTGTTCTCTATGGCTGCTGCATTATTTGCATTCCTACCAGCAATATATGAGGATGACAGTTTCTTCATATCCTCACCAATACTTTTTATGATCCATCTTTTTTATTACCACCTTCAGAGCAGCTATGAAGTCGTATTGCATACTTATTTTTCTGATTCTTAACCATTAGGTTTACTTAAAGTTGAGAGTGTCCTGTGGCATTTTATTGTTATTATCAATATAGTATAGATAGATATGTATATATTTATTATCAGTATATAATAATAATACATATTCTATCTGTATTATATATGTATATACACATATGTATATAATGTTCACAATCGCCTTTCCATCCCCCTTCCCATCACTTCAGTCTCATTCTCTTGCTCTGTAATTTTAGAACCATTTAAAATCCAGAGAACCTTCCAACACCCATTGATGCATCACTGTAGCTTTCTGCAAATGAACCCAGGGGACTAGTCTGTGAGTATCACCTAGAAGGACATGGTTTCACCCGGCATTAGTCCCTCATATTCCTCAGTAACTTAACTGCAGGTGTAACTGCATTAAAGCATTGGGGACTTAACACTTAAAGGGTTACAAGGAAGAAATTTTTCCAGTATATCGCAAAGACAGCAGTGAATGTGTTTCACATGTAAGATTCTTATATATGTGTAATTGAAGAAGATGCTATCACATTTGTTTTTCTTCTGCTTATCTCATAAGGGAAGGAATTTCTTCATTCCTTGAAATATATTTTGTCCATTTGGCATGTTAAGATATGATTTCATTGCACTTATTATAAAGTTTCATTGTAAGTCACTAAACAAGACTCAGGCAGAAAAGGTGATCTTGAGAGGCAGTGATTGTGAAGCATGAAATGTGAATTCTGGCATTGATGCAGTAATCTGTGTGTGTGTGTGTGGGTCTGTATGTGTGCACGCATGTGTGTATGCATGTGTGTGTAACTTTGAATTAATCAGATAACCTTTTGGTTGTTTCACTTATCCAATGATGAGGTTGAAGTAGAGGATTTTTAAGGTTCCTTCTTGATTTAAAACTCTTATTCTATGTTTCATTGAAGATCACACAATGTAGTAGTAATATTTCTTCTACTACTTATCCCTGGGTATGTTACCTGAAGTTTTGGTTATCAAGTTTAAAAAATGTTACAAAGAGATTAAATGAAAAGTTACATTTAAGCAAAGAGGTAGCATACTGGTGATTTTATGGAACAAACTTTGACTGCATAATAGAGTTATGTACATAGAAGGTAATCCCTTCAAAAACATCATGAACCTGTGTATGCTGTGGTTGTGTTTGATTTTGATTCCCAGGGATACATTTTACATGATAAGGGCCACTAAAATGTTCAGTAGTCAATCTCTTAAATTTACAAAATATTTTACTGGGATCAGACCTGAGTACAGCCTTGATTGATGTTAGCCCAATGAGTGATTCAAGCCTGACAGTTGTGTTCTGTGAAGTAGAGGTTGTTTAGAAAGGAAATCTTGTTTCTTGATTTTGTATGATGAATCTTTGTGAGTGCCTCTAGAAATTATGTGCAATTGCCTGATTTGTTCTTAATACAGGACCTATATTTCAAGTTCATTGCATTTAAGCATTTGCTAGTTCACTTTTAAATCCTTTCTCTCTTTTGTATCTTCTTTTCGTCTGCAGGATGTTTTCACTCCAGAATGCAAATTTAAGGAATCTGTATTTGAAAACTACTATGTGATTTATTCTTCCACACTGTACCGTCAACAAGAATCAGGCCGAGCATGGTTTCTGGGACTCAATAAAGAAGGTCAAATTATGAAGGGAAACAGAGTGAAGAAAACCAAGCCCTCATCACATTTTGTACCAAAACCCATTGAAGGTATGAAATGAACTTTTTTTTTTTTAGACCCTGATTTCTGTGTGTTGATGCCAATTTTGCTCCTTGTCCCTTGCTCAGTGGAGTTTACTTAGAATGCAACATATCAAAATAAAGTTTCAGAAAACATAGTACTACCTCTTCCTAAAAAAGAAAAAAAATTCTATTACAAATACTTGGCACTTATTAAAAAAACTGCTTGAAATAGAAGCTAGAAAATTCCTGAAAGTAGAAAAATAGCGCTAGTTACCATTTAGAATGTAATTTCCTTCTCTGTTGAACACAATAATTTAATTCCTCAAGCTACACTCTTGACAAGCCAGTCATGTTATTATAGTGCTTTAAAGTTTGCAAAAAGCCTTTGGAGATATGTTTATATCTATATATGTTTATATATGCTAACATATACATCTTTGTGAACAAATCTAACAATATGGTGTATTAATTTTTCTTTGTATTTTCTAAGGAAAGAAAATAGTATGCTGTTTACTGTGATCAGTAAACATTTACAGTATTCAATTTTATCCTTCTCAGTCAAGCCTATAACCTCCCCTCTCATGATCATTTAATACAGTGTTCACTTATTTAAAATTGATTGGTGGAATAAATAATTTTATGCTAAGGAAACCCATTTTGGGCAACTTGTTCCTTGTGGAAGATGAGACTATACTATTGGGGTAACCACTTTTGCTGTATTCATTCAAGCTTTTTAAGACCGGCTAAAAAATAGCAGTAACCTAGACATTTACTGATAACCTTCGTTTCTGAAAGTCACATTATAATCACTTAAAGCATTAGTTCAGCCTCCTTGTCTGTGGAAATAAGGAGATTGAGGCAGTGCCTTACAAGTCTGTAACATAGCCAGGCTTTCTGTCCCCTGAATATCCACCAGGCATGGTCCGGTCGACTAGCATAACATCATAGCTCCTGCTGCACCATACCTATGATTGTAATAGTCAACAACCATTTGTTCAGTTGACACTGTGTTGGAAGCCCTGGGGGGAAATGTGACATTCGAAGCTCCTGATCCCTCTCAAAACTCCCCTCACACCCTGTCCTTTTAACCACACAAAGCAGAACTTGCCTTCTTGTAATCTGTTTTCACAGTTTGGGGACGCGCGTAGTTCTTTGGCCCTCCTCTCTCCATAATGTCCATCCACTCACGTGCCTGAAAATGCCTATTAGTCTTTGTAAAGAACACATCCAGGAGTCACTGCTTGTGTGGGGGCCTGACTCTCTTCAAGTAGAATTAAATATTCTGTCACTTTATCATTTTATACAATCCTCTCCCCTAGAACTGATCACATTGTATTAAATTTACCTGTTTGCCACACTGTCTTCTCTTATCCATGGATTGATCATTGTTTGAATGTACAGAACAAGTTTTTTTCTCATATATCTTTGTTGCTTGTATAATATCTTGCATATCAGAGAGACATTTAATAATCTGTCATCAATTGAGTGAACACATGAATGAACGAATGAATAGGTAAGTATGAAGACAAAGAAGAATTATATATGCTTCAGATAACCTTACAGTATTCTTGGAGATATGAGATACGTGTATTAAAGCCAATAGTATAATGTAGAAAGTGATGTATTACATGTTGCTGGAAATGATATTGGGATTTAGGGAAAGAGCAATCACTTCCACAAAAAAAAAAAGATATTGGAAACTTGATCATTTAAATGTAATTGCAAGGCAAGGCCAGGTTCAGACCATTAGAGGTGAGAGGTAGAGATCAAGCAGACAAAAACACTCTGGGTGCAGTGTGAATAAACTGTTAAAACTTCTGCATCATTTTTTTATTGGAATGTAATTAACATGTACATTATACATGTATATAACATACATATTCTATTTATTTCGGCTGTACAGTATAACAATTCAACAATTCTATACATTTCTCAGTGCTCAACAAGATAAGTGTACTCTTAATACCCTTTATCTATTTCACCCATTCCCCTACCCACATCCCCTCTACTGCATCATTTTTATTTGCGCATTTATATAGACTTTGTTGTTGTTGAAACAAAAGTAGCACATGTTCATTAACAATTTTTGAATTCTGGAAAGTGTAAAGGAAAGGAAAAATCCACATGTGTTATTTGCTCTTTTTATGGAAATGCTTGTCATACCGACCCCCCCCAAAAAAAAGAAAAAACACACCGATAACTTACCCTCCTATTCATGACTGCTGTTTGCACTTTGGCTAGTCAAGCTTCTTGAGACTGTGTGACTACGTACACGTTTCCAAGAGTAATGGATTCAATGACTACATTCCTAGTCTCAGAGCTGCCTAAATTCTATAGTTATTGCTGCATTTCAGTACAAATGTTGGAAGAGACAACTAGACATTCCTAATTGTTTACTTTAGAATTAGATTTGGCTATGTACAATACAAAACCCATGTTAAGAGCAGCTTAATCATACAGAGTTTTATTCTCACCAACCAAATCAAGAAACCTGCCATCCAGGGCCTGTTCTGTGACTTCCCAGTTGTTAGGGACCTCAGCTAAGTCCATCTGAGTGCCACTCTCCCTAGTGTGTTGTACAAGTGCGCCCTGCACTATCAACACAACCACACAATGGCCCTGGTTCTACTCTTGCCCCCACGATCCAACCAGCGTCCTCATTCCAGCCAGACAGAAGAAGAAGGGATGAGAAAGGCAGAGGCAAAACCCTGTGTCAGCGTTCTCTTCTAGAAGGTTCCCATTAGCTGCCATATGATACTTAAATCCCACTGACTGCAACCCAGTCAGGGTGGTCTCACTTATGTGCAGGGAAGCCTAAGAATGTACCATTTCTTCTGGATGGCTACATGCCAAATAAGTGTTCAGTTATTTTGAGAGAATAGCAGAATGGGACTGGGACAGTAAGAGCCTCTGCTTCAACCTGCCATCATCTTAACATCTTAACTTTAGAATAGCCCTGATTTCCTAATTTTCTTATTGATAGCCTTTTGGTCATTGTTTTGTTTTTTATTTTCCTTATTTACTGATGTTTTGACGATTTCCATTTTGTTCTGAGGGGGGGGAATAGTCCATTCTAAATCAGATTCACTAATTTAACACAAATATTAAATTCACTTGGATTTGTTTCCAAGGCTCTTTGTCTCTCTATATGGCAGGAATGAAAGCTGAGGTGTTGGAGTATATGGAATATGATAAGAATCATTTCCAAAAATGAAAACAAGAATGCAATTGTTTCAGAACAAAGGCCTTTTAATTCCCTAGAAATGTCTTTGCCTTTTGTCTTAGAGAGCAAGGTTAACTTTTTTTTTTTTTTTTAACAAATTAGCTAACAGTTCTACAAATGCTTACCCTGTACAGGTATTGTGCTAAACATGTCTCGGTTATCCCCCTTTTTTCCATTCCATTTCTATGAAGTGGATCCTAATATTATCCCCATTTGACAAATGTAGAAAATGAAGCACAGAGACATTGAGTAATTTGTCCTGTATCAAGCAGTTCGTAAGTGGCAGAGGCAGAATCCAAGCCAAGGCATTCTGACTCAAGCGAGCATGTGCTTAATCTCTGTGAGGATGAATGAAACTGCTTACAGTCTGAAGCCTGAAATGTAACCTCAACATAGCATAATAAGACCCTAGCAAATGCTGTGGAATAAATGTCTCCTATATGCTTCGCTCCTTTTTAAATCTAGAATATACTTGCTCACTCCTTAGAAATAAAAGCCTTTTAGATTCATGGAGACCTTCATGTTCTTATATTGCAACAGACCCATGAAATTCCTCAGTTCTCCCATAGCTTGTTTTACTTTGAGATCATTATTATAATGCAAAAATATGAACAAATTCCCAGTGATTCTCCATGCAGCTATGCTTTATGTTATCAAATGATGTAATTATATAATTACCATTAGTATCCAAGATGTGTGCACTTGAGGCTTTTTTAGACATTATTCTACTATGCAGCAAGAACTTCTCTCTGCTCACTAGGATCCCCAAACTATTTGTGCTACCACTACTATTACTACTATTACTAGTCTTACTGCATTTATATACAGTTTACTGTTTACTAGGCAGGTTGCATATGTTCATTAAAGGTCACAACAGCCTTATGTTATTACCCTCATCTTATAGATGAAGAGACCAATATTTAAAATAAGTATGTAAGTATGCCCTGGCCAATCAGAGGGCTAGATAAATACAGAACTGGGACTGCAATCTAGGAAGCCTACTGCCAAAGCCTATATACCTACCTCCTACATCATATGTCCCTTTAATCTGAAGTAAGCCTATGGATATGCTAATAATTAAAAACGTCAGTGATAGGAAAGCAGAAATGTTATACCATGAAACAACTTGCATAGTAAGCTAGCTCTAAACCATGCAAAATGGAGACAGATATACATGATATGACAAGATAAATTCATAGTGGTACATAATCAGATAGCATAGTTATGAGAATGCCATGTTAAAACTAAGCAAGAAAGGATAAAGAATATATCACTTTTTTCTTGACAAATGTTAACAGGCTTCATTTCCTGTTCCGCAAAAGAAAAATTTGGAGCAGATGATTCCTAAAGTTCTTTGACAGTGACATTCTGTGCATTCTTTATAATCACTTTATTGTAAAACCATGTTTCTTCAGGGAGCCCAGCTTAGGATTTATAAATAAAATGATTCTAAACACATATCCTTTATTGAATTATTGAATGAATAAAGTACAGTTTTATGAGCTACCCCCATAATGGGTGATTTGTAACTTTTGTTTAGAAGGAGTGGGATGAAAAACATTCTAGCCATAACCCATTGTAAAGGAAGTTTTTGGTAATATTTTTTTCCATAGGACAATTATAAAGCACGTAACTAGAATTCACTTTCAGAAGAGAGAGAAAATGACAAGTTTATAAGAGGTTAACCATATTGCTGGCTAACTGGAAAGGTTGTCAGTTATCTTTAGTTTTTAAAGGAATTTTTATAAATCTGTAAACCCACCACTGCATAGTTACCAACAGAGTCCAGTAGGGACTGTGGACT